TACTTAATGTAATATTTTAAATCTCATTTATTAAGAATTAAGATAAAGACCGCTCCCCCAGCACAAGCTAGGCTTATAGGGGGAAGCGCAATGTATATAAACTTAAGTATTTTTAAAATGTATAAAATTTTCATTGTTGCAATAAATACTATTATTTATTTATTTTTTTTTTAAGTATTTTCCCCTTGATTACAATAATAATTATTATCTTCCACCAATTACTATTATACTAAATCTATATTAATAATTATTAAAATTGTCACACACATATGCAACCATAAATTTTTGTTTACTTAGGATAGTCTATTATATAACTCGGGTCTCTAGTTTTTTCTATTATTTCTGCTAAATGTTTACATTCTCCTTTACAGTGATCATCTATAAAAAGTTCAAGGTTTCTTGTTATTTTATTTAGAGTTTTATGATCATAGCGGTTATTTAATCTTTTGTTGGCTTTTAATATATGCCAATTAAAACATACTGACTGCATCTTATTTTCTTTAAAGTTATAAATATGTACTTCTGTTTTTATTATGTTTTTTAATTCCTCAATGAATCTAAAATAATATAACAAGTGTTAAATTATGTATTTACCATCACCATAAATATATATATAATTTATTTTTCTAAAACTTGTTTATTAACTATAATAATTCATTTATTCTGATTATAATATTTTTTTTTATATTTCCTCGCTAACTTATATAAATATATGGGTCTTATTTTTGAAACCACATAATTAAATAGGCATTTTTTTAAGATTACGTCGGATCATGACAATACGTAATATTATGATTAGTATCACACATTAATCAATGCGCTTCTGATAGTCCTAACATTCTGCCGTTTTTATTCATTTTTCCTAAATACCCTGAATATAAAGCTTCTTTAGTTTCTAAATTTGTTAGTTCTAAATTAAATTCATCATTATTCCTAATACTATATGCTGATATATTTAAAAATGCTAAAATACCCTTTAATCTCAACCGTTTAATTAATGTTATATCCGTCGTTCCATTCCAGAAAACTATTAATGGATCCCTATTGTCTATGTGCAAATATCTTTGCAAGTAAACCGTTGACAAGGTTGATTCCCCCTGGTGGCTTACACTTTTGTATAATTGGTCCAACAGTGGTGCAATCACGCTTGCCTTTTTCCCTCGGAATACCCGTTTGATTGTTTGCACGATTTTCTTAAGGTCGCATAGCCGGAATCTTCTTAACCCAGGATCACTTGCGCGTTATCTTTTACGCAATTGCTCGCGTGTTAGATTTTTTCTAACACTCAATTAGTTTATTTAATTTCATCAAAACACAAATTCCTTTTTATAAAATTTATATTTATTGCATTATTTACAAAAGACAATATATATGAGACAATATATATGACATTTTACCACTTTAGGTGTTTTAAAGCTGTTATTGAAATACATTAAAAAAAAACCCAAGTGAATAATGTACTAATATCAAAAATTTTTAATTATATTAATCATTAAAATGAATTACAAATGAGTAAATAGGTTTACTTAAGAGGGCGCAACAGTAACAATATTCAAGCGCTTAAACATGTTCTGGCATTTTCAATGGTACTTTGCTTCTAATAGACTTAGGCTGAACATTTTGGTACAAAATTAAAGAAGACAACATTCTCTATGTTTTCTCAGAGCCGTTTTTAAATATTTTCATTCTACAAGTGTAAATATAGTTCTAAAAATCCATTAACTTGACATTTTTAATAGCAAATATATCTCTTAGAAATTGTGCTATTAAAATATGCTTCTGTGAAAACACAGATAAACTTACCAATTTTATTGTTGTGAAAAAAAAATGTTTCTACGATCAATGAGGACTGAGTACTATTGGAACTACGCAAGCATGTTTTTGCCGTTTTTAGTAAAAGAACGATGAAATTACAGCCGTCCGGTGCTGCTGTCGCGACTATAGCGGCAGACGCCGGCAGTGTTTTAAAACCATCCTCGTTCCCCACACCGCGCGCATGAGCAGCGGTACCTCACCTTAGATTGAAACCTGTTATCTTTCGCAGCCGCCGTGACCCGCGCACAGTTTATAAATACCCATAATATCGTCGATCCAAAATAATAATAATATTATTTTGATTTATACTTTTATAGTTCGAATCTCTAGATCTTCTATTACCATATTTTACACAAATTGAAACCATATATCGCAAAGTTGCCAAAACTGCTAGAAAACGTACGATACAAACAATTTTTTTTCAAACTGTAGCAAATTTTTTAGTTGGATTAGTGGTTTAATTTTTAAGATGATATTTTTTAAATTTAAGTCAGCACATATACAATTATTTATATAAGTAACTGTTTGTTTAAAATTACTATACAAACTACTATATAAGTATTACACAATTAAATTAATTACAGTTTATCAAATGTATAAAATCAATCAATAGATTTAGTTATTTAGTATGTGACCTATTATTTATCAGTTTATCACCATATTTTTATTTAAAAAATAAATTATAATTATATTATATTAATATAATAAAATGGTAACGAGTAATAATTTCCTGTTATTTAAACATGAAAAAAATTAATATAAGTTCAACAAATATAATATAATTTATAATTTTCTTTTTAGAAATTCATAAAACAATTTTGGTTTGAGTCTAAGATTTGAAAATTTGACAAGAGATTCTCCATAAGTTTTCCTACCTTTCTAAAGAAAAAATACTTTCCGGAAAGTTAAACTAAATTTTTAGGAGCGTTTGAAATTAGACATTGGGTGTTTTTTCCGTACCCGATTTCTTATTTTGATGTAATTCAAAAATAAAAAGGTGGGTAAGTGGATATCGCTCTGCTGTACTGTAGGTTACAAGTGGGTCATGGTATAATGGATGGTATTAAATTTGAATTCAACGATATAATATCATTGTATAAGAAAAACGATTCTGAGTGGAGACGGTATGTCAATCTAGGTATAAGACATATATATTTATCGATGTTATTAAAAAAAAAATTGACCTATAATAGATGCCTATAATAAATTCCAAATTAATCATATCATAATATCCATTAGGTATCATATATCCCCGAATTCTATTTTTAACGAAAAACCAAGATCGTTAATATTGATTTTAATATGTAATTTCGTCCAAATTTGGATTTAAAATGTCTGTAAAAAATAACTGTGTTCATATATTTTTTAGATGATTTGGTTACAGTATGAACTATTTATGAGAACCTTTGTTTTAAATTTGCAATCCTTAGCTATAAAAACTGAACATTTTATAATTTATTAATTACAATGATTGATAATTTTCGAGATATTGATAAATTTTGTCAAAATTCGATCTTTAAATGCTTATAAAAAAAAACTGCCTATGTATTTTTAATATTTTTCAATTGTTATTGTAACAATATATCAGGACTCAGGAGGCTTGTATTACATTTTTACACTTTTTGGCCCAACAGATAAAACTTTTTCCTTAATTTTTCTTTTGTTTTTCACGGCGTTTTTGAAAACTATTGGGAAATTTTTACTTTTAACCCCCCAAAATACCAACTAGATTCACTTTCCTATCACAAAAGCTACTGTTGAAGAAAATCCAAGCACTTTTACTGTCCTAAAACGTGATGACAGACACAAAAAAAAATAAAAAAAAACACACATCATTGTAAAATCAATACATTCATCGTTTTACTCAGAATCTAATAATCGCAGACATTTGAACATTACACCAATTGTTCACCAATTTTTTTTGTAAATTTGTAGTATATGACTTTTATTTGGGAAGGTAGCTGGTGATAACTAATGTTTAGTATTAATTAAGCATAATATATAACTATAAAATAATGTCCCGTGTGCCACGCAGTGTAGTACTTAAAATATGCTCTATAACGTCGACAAATAAATAAATGTTTTTTTACCTAATTTGCATTGCATCACCGACTTCTAAATCCTCCGAAGTTTTATTTACATTACTAAAGTCACAGAAAAATATATTATTACTTACCTAGGTTTATTTACATCATTATTAGAGTAAATATATATCAACAATCAACATGTCTATAATTATATGTTCAGAAAGTGTATACATAAATACAATATTAGCCATTAGGTATTAAATTATCTATATTCTATAGTATAATACTATAATTCTATTATAGGTTTAATATATATTATATTATATAGTATATACGTATATTTATTGTGTATTAATATTATGTAGGTAGTAGGTAAATCGGTACTTACTATTTTGCATTACGAACTTTGTCCATGCGCAAGGCCATTATATTTCGTAATGATTTTTTTTTTGAATCATGTCCTCTACTTTTTTTAGAACCACCCATGATTAAAAATATTTTTAAGTCTCAACACAGCACAAAAAATAAAACGCTATAGGTACGGTACGGTGCCTATGGAGAAATGACTAACATGATGGTCGAAATAATAAATAATAATGCCGGGAAATAATATTGTTTTATTTTGTCACCGTATAATTTATTATTATTATCATAATATATATCTATATTATAATATATAATATATATATATCATATTATATCTAATTTTAGTATTTGATATTTATAAATAGTGGCTTTATTTTTCAATAATTGTTGTAATTTTATTTCTTATATTTGTTTCGGGTATTTATAAACCCTGCAACTGTGCTAGTCGGCTATTAGCGCTAAGCAGAGAGCGTGCGCCGACATAATTTATATCAAGCCATGGTAACATTCAGTACGACAGTCGGTGGAATAATAATATATCTCTCCCGAAACTACGGAGCGCGGACCTAGCCACGAATATAATGGGCGTGACTGCAGCCTGCCGCGACGGCGGCGAGACGGCGCACAACGCCATCTCTTGAGCGTTGTATGTGTTTCACTTTTACTGTTGCGTCCTCTTAATGTATACATTCTTACAATACATTTTATATTTTTATATTTAATTTGAAAAAAAAAAGTACTGATAAATTAAAACCTTAAATTTATGTATACATGCAAAAAATTGAAATAATATTAATCATCTGAATCTTGAGGATTATTACAAATGAGGCAAATTAGGTTAGTTGATGCAGTATGTTCCTTGCAAATTGGTTTGGAGCAAAGGCTACATTGATGCTGTGTGAATCTATTTTTACGTATTGGACAGTATGTACATCGTGGCTTTCCTTGAGGAGTGTTTTCCTTTGGTGCTGCTTGAAATCCTGTAATATTTTGTATTTTCTGGCGAATTGATAATCCAAGACTAGGAATTGTTGCACGTTTTAACAAATGGGGTTTTGTTAATATTTTGCATAAGTCTGTAAGAAATTGTCTTCTAGTAAATATATCATTCGTATTCGCTTTATAAATTATTTGTGAATTTATTGCTCCAATATTCAACAGACTACAAAAAATTGTAAATGGCCAACGGTTACTTATTCTTGTTACTGAATATTCACTTTTTAGTCGATCTACTACATCAACTCCACCTTTGGTCAAATTGTAGAAAGTTATTACTTCTGGCTTTTTCAAATCACCCGAATCTGGGTCAATATGATCATCACGATGCATTGTTGATAACATTAAAACATTTTTATTTTTTTTAGGAACATACGAGCAAAGAAGACTGTTGTTTGTATGTTGTCCATATGCAAACATTGTACTTTGTAATGGACTTGATTTTATATTAGTAAACTCTGGTGGAATCTCTCTTTTGTTTTTCCGTAATGTTCCTACAATAGTAAGCCGGTGGTTTGCATATAATTCGTTGGCGAGAGGTACAGATGTAAAATAATTATCCATTGTAATATTTCTCCCGGATTTATCAATTGGTTCTATTAGACGTTTCACTACACAAGCTGCACTATTATCTTTTTGAAATGGACCTGGGGGCTGTTTTCCAGCGTATATTTCCATGTTGGAAGTATAAAATGTTCTAGCATCAACAAGAGCGTATATTTTGATGCCATATTTGGCGGGTTTGTTGGCTATATATTGCCTAAATTTACACCTCCCACGAAATGCTTCTAACATTTCATCGATAGTAGCGTATTCACTTATTGTGTAACTTTCTATGCATGATTTTAAAAACTGGTCAAAAATATATCTGATTGGCGCTAGGTTGTCAGTCTTTTTTCGCTCTAATCTACTATTACGATCATCAAAACGAATTGCTTGTACGAGAGTATGAAAACGTCTTTTAGACATAGTTGCCGAGAAAAATTCAGGAGCTGTACCGTCGGTAGACCATAATTCATCGGTGTTCAAATGCTGAGCCTTCTTTACACCAGCCAAATATAATAACCCAAAAAATGCTAAAATTTCTTCAAAATTTGTTGGTGGACAGTCTCTTTCACCTCGTGTATAATTAGAACGAATTAAATTAAGTTGTTGATTTGTACATTCGACAATATAAATAATTATATTATCGGGAAAAAATATTTTCCAACAGTCTAAAATTGTTTTTGAATTTTTAGCTGCACCTTTCACTCCCGGTAATTTTGTAATTATATTTTGACGAGCAGTTTTTGTAGTTTGTGGCTTATACATTAGCCATTTCGTACCATCTTTTCCAACATAACAAGGGGTATTCAGTAAATTATTTGAAGCCGGGGTAGGTATGTGTATTATCAGAATCACTATTACCTGACTGTTCTGATTCTGTGTCATGATTTGAATGCTCAGATTCTGTATCTGTTTCTGAGTTCAGGTCACTGATGTTTGTATCTTCATCTTCTTGCAACCATTCTATTACTTTATTTGTAATTTTATCGTTGTTCATTATTACAGTAAACAATTACAAAGAAAACAATATCATAAAATGACACTCGACACTAAAAATAATGATATTAGTTTGAAAATGTTAATTTGAATTTTACACACATACAAAAATCACCGCGTAAACACTCGCGTGTTAGAATATTACTAACAAGTCGGGTGTCGTGATCACTCGCGCGTTAGATTATTACTAACAACTCGGGTGTCGTGATCACTCGCGCGTTAGATTACTACTAACAATTTGCTTACCGTCAACTTTAAACTGAAAACAATTGTCAAATAATGTTATCTTATCTTCCATTATGATATTATTAGTTCTATAGTGATATAGATAAAGCATTGATGGAAGGAGAACTATTTATCATTTAATCGATTATTGTTATTCTAAAAATAAGTTGAATGTTAGATTATTTCTAACAGTGCGAGTTATCGCGGGTTAACTTATCGTCTTTTGTAAGTATAAGAGGACTTCCTTCCAATTTCTTGGGCTGGTATTTTTCTAAACTATTCGAAATCGCCCCGGATACCAATAATGTTTCTTCTTTACTAGCCATAAAGAATTCGAAATCCACTATGAAAAAACGGATCTGTGAGCTAAAATAAAATTTATTACTTAAGGTCAGTAACACTATAATTTAATAATATTATTATATATTTATGTTTTTATTTCTTGGAACTATATCGTTTATCGGTTGATCGCCACGCCTCATTATTATTAGTTATTCTAACAATAAACCTAATTCTACATAAATGGGTCTGTTGTGGTCCGGTCGTTCAACCACCGCGTGTATGAAATTGCTCACATGAACCATAACTCTTTCTAAAACTAGTCTTGGAAAGGGGTGTGTCATGTCTTCATTCGCCCTCCTTAGGTGTCTTCTGAAACAGTGTAAGGTCACTGTTCCCCCATGATTTATTTGTGTGTGGCGTGCTGTTATTAACTCTGTTATAAGTTTCTGAAAGAATTCCCTTGTTTGTAGTGTCTTTTGAACTGCACGAGATGTAGGTGGTGAGTTCCTATTAATTTTATATTTCTTATTTATATAGGTATGTTTTAAATATTTGTTCTTCTTTTTAGTTCCTGAAATAATTAAAGTGACCTGTTATACATATAATTGTTACATCGTGATTATTTGTAAGTATCATTTTACGAATTATTTTATTATGCATGAATAATATTTATTTTATTACTTTTTCATTTATCTTTTTATATATTTTTTTTCTTACTACTTCCTGAACACAATGTTATTATTATATATTTAAAATTTACATTATATATTAATTCTATTATCAATTTTACTTATTGTCTAGCTATTGCGTATATTTTTATTTTATATGTTTATTGATTATTACTAATTTTAAAGTAAATAATTCATTATGACTAGCGACTACTCTTAATATATTTTATTCTTATCGTGGTGGTGCGGTGAATAATGTCTCTCTCTTATGTAATCGTTTGTGCCTGGTGTTCTATATCTAACTATTCTTCCTGGCATATTTCTTATCTGTCCATTACTAATATATTTGCATTTAATTGGCATATATATTGCTATTATAAGTATGAGAGACAACGATGCTAGTAATATTGTTACATATAATAAATTACTGTGTACAAATTGATGTTTTTGATTTTGTTCTCTTGAAAGTTCTTGGTTCAATCATTTGTTGTTCCTCGTC